CTACTTGATGGATATATGGGAAACACGTAACTCTGATTGGACATCTTTCAGAACAAACATAGTTTGGGATGATATATGTCCTCCAGAGGAAAGCTCAACAGCCTAGAATGTAGCACATGTTTTTTTTTGATTGCCTAGTGTTCCATTTGTAGCCCAAGGGCCCCCCGACCACTGGTCTTGCATTAGGAGCCCCTCCAGGACCACCTCAAGATCAATTCTTTGATTGCTGGACTCATTTACTACAGGAAATTAAACCAGACTCCTGGGGACCAAGCCACAATCAGCCACAGCCCTGGGGAGACAGGACACAAGAAACTGGGAGCAAACCCACTTTGAGCAACCTGGTGAGCAAATCTAGACTTAAAAGATGATAGAATGGCACTGATGGCTGTTTTTGTGTCCTGAGAAAATTTTTTGAAAAATGTTTCTCTCAGTAGTAATGGATGTTCTTTAATCTGGTAAGTACATCTGTGATCGTTACAAACCTTGACTGATTTACTGTAAATCTGGTCATTAGATAAATACATTATAGCACTTGTGAATATCAATATGGCTAATATTTACATTTTATTTGATTCACTCTTTCTTGCAGCTTAATAAAACATGAAGTCTAGAGGAAGGTACTTTGTTCTTGAGACTTTCAACATGCAATATTACAACCATTTCCTAACACAGAAAGTGTCAGAGTGAATGTAGCTCATTTCAAGGAGAAACACGAACAACAGTTAATAACCCTACTGTAAAGGTTGACAGGGTTTATGGTGGAGAGGGCTTTTTAATCGAGGTGTCCCACTCTGCTCATTCAATTTAAATAAGCAGCCTGCCACTGTCCACAAAGCACTCATGACAAGGCAGTGTCCTGATAAGGGAGGTGTTATACTGAGCCTTGTCTTCAGTTTTCAGTATCCATTTGCCATTATCTTTGTCAATCAGTAGTTATTGAACTCCTGCAGGAGCATTGGCCTTACACTTGAAGCAACACCATATTGAGTAATGAGAGAATAGCAATGGGCTTAACCATTTCCTGTATTGACTTTTGAGATTTCTATGTTCTTGTGTCTGGGTATAGCTACATTGGTTTTGCCTCTGGACTCCAAGGAATAACTCTCTTTGAATCCCATTAGCACCTTTGTTTCCATAAATACAGAGAAAGTTATACAAAAAGTTGGTCAATTCTTAATAAAAAAAAATGTGGGGTTTCAGGACACCTGGGTAGCCCAGTGGTTGTGTCTGCCTTTGGCTCAGGGGTGATCCCAGAGACCCAGGATCAAGTCCCACATTGAGCTTCCTGCATGGAGTCTGCTTCTCCCTCTGCCTATGCCTCTCTCTCTTTTTCTCTCTCTCTGTCTCTCATAAATAAATAAAATCTTTAAAAAAATTCTCTCTCTCTCTCTCTCTCTCTCTCTCTCTCGGTCTCTCATGAATAAATAAAGTCTTTAAAAAAATTGTGAGGTTTCTGAATTCAAAATTTCATTTAACTTTTAGATCTTTACTCTATTTGTACCTCTCTCCCTATGGTGTATGTTATTGCTAACCGAAGCCATAGCTCTGATCCAGTATTAGCGAGTTATCAATTGCCTAAAAAACAGTATTCTTGTTCTGTGTTCGTCATTCCTTTTTTTTTTTTTTTTTTAGCTGTTTTTGGAATTGATTATCATTATTTCCACTTGGGCTTCAAGGGGAGAATATGTAACAGTTCCTGAAGTGAAAGAATTTTGAACTGAGGGAAGAACAGGAACTCTCCAAAGGGAGAAATGGGAAGCAGAACTGGAGAAAGATACTCTGGGTTCAAGAAAAGTGTCAAAGAATCTGGTGCTACATGGAACAAAATACTGTCCTCGTATCCCATTAATGCCTGAAACAGGATCAATGTTTTCAAAAGGAACATATTTAGCCAGAAAGACATAGGGACTAACAGCATTAAAAACAATTACTAACAACATCAAGACAGTCAAGCTTGGTGTAGAAAAATATGACTCCATGCTATCTAAACACCTTCCCTGGCACTTAGATTATGCCATTTCACATGATGTGAAGTTCATGTTCTTTTCTAAGGCACTGGAAATCTATATTCCACAAATTCCAGTGTAATATGCTTAATTACTTTGTAGCACTTATTCCTGAGTTGGGATTAAACCATCCAATCAACTAGACTTTTCTAGTTGTTTCCTCTATACTCTCACAACAATACAATTTGGCTGGGCCAATAATTTTCAAATTGTACAGACACTTCATAGGACACAGATTTTCCATATATTTAGGTTGCTCTAGTGACAAAGCATGTAATGTTATCAGGTAGTCAGGATTTAGCTCAAGCTCCCAAATCCAACTCACTGGATTAAAATCCTAGATCCACCATTTACTATCTGCCTTAGACAACCTACTTAATTTATCTGTATCTTCATTCTCATTGAAAAAAGTGAGGATTAAAAAATTATACTCATCTGATTGTATTGTTTGGGTTTCAAGTTAAAAAATATATATATACACAGTGGCTGGTAAATAATTAGGACCAAATCACTAACAGCTATCATTGCCTTTGGCACAGTATTACATAGAAAAGAAAACGTTCTTGAGATTCATTATGTTTGGTTCGAGGAGAATAGCATGCTATTAAAATATCCATGTCTTGGGGATCCCTGGGTGGCGCAGCGGTTTGGCGCCTGCCTTTGGCCCAGGGCGCGATCCTGGAGACCCGGGCTCGAGTCCCACATCGGGCTCCCGGTGCATGGAGCCTGCTTCTCCCTCTGCCTGTGTCTCTGCCTCTCTCTCCCTCTCTGTGTGACTATCATAAATAAATAAAAAAATTAAAAAAAATAAAATATCCATGTCTTTAAGAGTCGGGTAAGTGATACCAATGCAAAAATCCTACCATAGCCTTTCTGTTCAAACAGGAAGAAATTCCTTGATCCTTCATAAAGCATATTCTGTAGCATGTACCCATTGAGTCATTTCTATAATTTTTGAGAGTACTGCATACACTATCTAGGTTATGTTCCATACTACTTATGCCCTTTGCATCTATAATGGAAAGGCTTTTCCTGGTCTCTGTCTTGAAATTCTAAGTCTGGTATAGAGAAGTCATGAGAATAAACTGAGGCTGAGCCCCAAGAAGGAATATCAGCTAAAGTGTCAAACAATATTTTACATATATTGACACAAACACTTCATTAAGCATTTAATGGCCATGATGGCATTTTGTTGCCACAATCATCCAATGAATTTAGACATTATCTCCATTTTCTAATAGAGAAGGTGAGCCTCAGAAATGCTAATGGCACATAGCTAGTAAGGGACAGAATTTGGATTTGAACAAGGTCCAGTACAATTCAAAGCCAGTTCTCTCCCCCTTACATAAATAGCCTATAAAACATCTCTTCACATCACCACCCCATTACCTATTCCAATACCAAGAATCTTCAGTTCCTGAATCCACACAACTTCTCTCTATAAAGAATTCCTATGTACTCCATGGTAGGTTAGATTAGATAGATACTGACATCTTCTTCAGCTAACTCCTCCTCAGGGGATGATTACACTTGGTCTGGAAAGAATGAATTAAGGTCTAGGATGATAAACAGAGTAACTGGAAAAATGAAAACTTCATTTAATGCTGCTGTTCCTCTTTCCTGCTTCTCCCTGCCCACCAGCACCACACATACACCCTATGCTTAGCCACTTGTCACCAACACCCTGTGTCCCAGCAAGCCACACCTCTTAACGGAAAGTATTCTTGGGAGACAAATGAAATGGCTGTTTTCCTCTTGTCTTCAGAAACAGTGGCCAAAATGCATTATACTCTTCTCAGACCCTCCTATATGAGTTGCATTAGTAACATTTTCACTGTGCATGAATTTCAACTGCGTTTGCATGATTGGCTGTGATAGGAATACTGAGAAGCTGCCACGCAGATGAAGTCTCTCCTTGTCGTTGCCAATGCTCTGTCACTGCTGTGCCCAGAAGCTTAATGTCAATGTCTCTTGCTGTAGGAAGGCTCTGCTGTTGTGGCTGCCATATGTTCTGTTACTATTGATGGGATCAAACAGTGTTCATTCAGCCTCTTTCAGACCTGCATCAGTCACGTCTCAACTCCACCCCTCTATGGAAGCATCTGTGCAAGTTGTAGTTTCTAGATTTTAGACTTAAATCTTTATTTTTAGGATGACCTATGTCTAACGCACCCTCATAACTGACAGGTAAATCAACATTAGCTTTGTCATAAACTCAGCTATTTGCCAGCCCAGCTCAGCAAGGCATGGAATGTTTCCTAAGCATTTCCCTTGGTAAAAAGTGCTACTTGCATTGTTCAAGATACAAAAGAGCTAGTCTTTCATTTTTGAGATGACTAGCTTTCCTAATCTGTCATAGATTCTAGGGTTTGTCTATAAATCCTTGCCTCTGCTCTTCATATTGAGTCTCTGAGCTAGCTAATCATGTTTCTATATCTTACTGTTTCCTATATACAAGGTCACGTGCTGAGCACTTTCAAATTAACTTATTAAGTCTCACAGTGGAACCATCATTATTATTTTGGTTTTGGAGTTAAGGAAACTGAGGTGAGAGTGGTTAAATAATTTGTGCATAACCACACAGTTGCAATTCAAACAGCCTTCACCCAGCACAGTGAAGATTCAGACCCCGGAACATCTTACTTTAGGATTCATGCTCTTTGCCATTACCTTATGTCGTCTTGTGCAATGAGAGCTCCATTTAAGAGCACACCCACAGCTTCACAATAGCCAAGCTGTTCTAAACAAAATTCATGTATCTTCACACCTTCTGGTGCCATGGTTTTATGATCTTCATATTGAGCATGTTCCCCAATTTCTGCTGACTAGCACAACTGTACTCTCTTATTCTGGTTCATACTGTACAAACATTTGTAAGGAAACATAGTCTCCTTTTTTCTTCCAAATATTTATTCAATTTTTATCTGGTGAAAAATCAATAACATAAAATCCACAAAAGTGTTGATCAAAAATAATAGCGTGACAATTAAGTTTTTAATTTTAAATGAAGTAAGTTTATTTACTACAAAGAGTATTTTCCCAACTCATAAAGCACTTAAGAAATAGTGAAAAGAGGAAGAAGAATAGGAGGAATATAGTGGGTATAGTAAGCTTGAACTCATTATATTCAAAGGTCTCTGGCTACCAAGTGGTTATGAAATCTGTGGAAGTGAAATTAAAAATATTCTTGTGCTTTTCCAGCAATAGATTCAACTTCATAGTTGATTACAAGAGTGCTGTGATGCAGCAGATAAATTAGAGTTGAATCCATCAGAATTCATGCAACTAGACAGGGTTCAGGGTCCCTTTAAACTCCAATATTATATGGATATCTGATATTGGTAGCACATTATATTTATATAATAGGCCAGATTCAATGCTAAGTCTTTCCACTGATAATAACCAGTGGCCAAAATGTCATGTTGACTTGAGTACTCACATGAGTTCTTGGTTGCAACTCTCAGTGCTCTGTAACAAATAGTGTGACCTAAAATATTTAACATGCTTTCCAATCCCAGCTTACTACGAGAAATGCCCCAAAGAGCAAAAAAGAAAATTTTTCTCTTTGAAGACAGTGGAAGACATGTCTATTCACTCACAAACACATGCACAATAATATGCATTTAGAGAAACAGAATTTCCTAGATATCTTAAGAAATCAATTTACCTCTATTAGAATATGTTATCTCCTATCTATGTACTCTATTCATTCTTCACTTACAAGGTAGTTGCAAACCACCAGTAACACAGCAAGTTGGCTCATAAGTGTTAGAAGAAGATTCCAGGAGTTGTGACTTTGGTGCAACAGAGACTGGAAGACTACAGGAACTGGATTCGGAGCTCTGAGATTGACATTGGCCAGGTTCACATTCTAGAGTCTGACAACTCTTAGACACATACGCCTTTGGTGGACAACTCTTTGCCACGTAGCTCGCAGGCTGGCAGTTCTGGACTACAAAACCCACTTGCTGGTTGCTTCCTGACTGGCAAGGCTGAGAAACACACTCCGACACTGCTGAGGAACGTCCTGATTGGCATATTGTCTTTTCACAGGGCCTGGAATTGGAACAAGTTGTTTGGACAACTCTGGGGAGGCCGGCACTTTGCATACAGCTAGGCTCTGTGCACTGTTCCTGTTTACAGTTGGGTACTTTGCAGCCGGTAGTCTCACTGCAGGTTTCTTGAAAGTTGTCCAGGAGCCAGGTCCTGCCATGGCAGCTGCTGGGTAAAAAAAATCCATCTTCAAAGTTTATAAGTTTAGACTCATGTACGATGGCAGAGAGTGGTGGGGCATTGTAGGAGCTCCTGAGTGAGCGGCCTTGGCTCTGGGGCATACTGTTGAAACCCTTGATTGAAGTTGGTCATAAGGACTCAGCATGCCAGGTCTGAAGATTCTTTTTTGACTAGATTATATACTCAGAAAACTGGGTGTTGGCTTCTCCTCAAGACTCCTTTCCACCTCATTGCCTAAGCTAATTTGAAGGATAACATCTCATTAGTACTTTGTTTAGTAACATATGAAGATGACATCCTATTAACAAAGAAGCCAGTCCATTTTGAATCTTCAAAATGGCTTTCATGTTAGCCCCAAAGCTGACTCATCAGGGCAGAGTTTCTCAAATATGAGTCCCAACATGCCACCCAAGCTAACATTTTTTTTTCATAGTTGCCGTGACTCTCCATATTGGTAAATGGACAAAACAAATGGATGTGGAAACAACTGATCAATATTCAGCACTAGAGTTTGGAAAGATGCTCTTTTGGCAGAATAGAATAATATGATCAAGACATTTTCAGTCAGAAGCCAATCCAATTAAGCTCATTCTACTTAGATCTTGGTCTGTTCAATTGATCAGGATGTGTGAAGGACTCAACAATGAAATCTCTTTTTATTGCTCACCCAAGGTACTTAAAGTGGCCATTGCCTTATAAACATCTTTCCCTTTGTCTAACATTTTGTTTCCCCTGTCTTATTGAAGGTCAAATATAAATGTTGCCTCTTTATGAAGCTTTTCCCTGATCTTCCTATTTACAGGTTACTACTTCTTCCTCTGAATTACCAATGGACTTTGACATATTCTTTATTATGTCTGTATTTATACCAACTAGTGTATGTATTTCTATTTGTGCTTCTCAACTTTGATAATTTGCTTTTGTAACAAACCTGTTTCAGATGCACTTTTCATTTTTGTTTATTGTGTTTTGTTTTTTGACTGCAGAATGATGACAGGCAGCTGCATTTATCACATTTGCAGCTGTATCAGCTTAGGTTCATCCTTATAACACAGGACCTGGCAGCACGATTTTCGATAGCACATTCTATAATTCACCTAGCTTAGCTCATGGCAGTGAAACAACAGAAGCATATTTTTAGCAAAATGCTCTGGCCCCTTTCTCAGACCTGAAGAAAATCAAGAACATTCAGGAACCCAGAACAACTCTGATACAAACTCCTCCTTAACATGTGATAGACTGGGGATATCATATATTTCAAAGGACACATCAGAATATATTCAACCTGACAAGCTGCACACCCAACCTGTCTATGATGCCTTTACCACACGTGCAAGTTACTTACAATGTTGAATGACCACTCCTGTGTGTTTAAAAGGAATACCAAGTATGTCCTCCACATGACCCCAACAACACCCCATTTAAATCATATGCATATTTGTATTTATCATCATAGAGGCTTCCACTGTCGCTTGTAACTCTCCTGCTTAGAAGTATTAAATGGATTTTCACTACGCTGAAAATAAGATCCCTGGTCCTTAGCCTAGCTTACCCAGTGCTTGCAAAACCTGGGTGCTGCCTATTTTTCTAACTCGAAATCTTGTGTTTTCCCTCTGCCCCACATCCTCCATTCACACAGGCCTCTACTGGGCTCCTGAGCATGTCAAGCCTCTCTTTGCCTCATTACTTTGTGTGTGCAGCTGCCTGTCTGTCTCATCCCTTCACTGCCGTCTCCTCCACATGCAGCTCCTCTCTTCATCTTTTGTGTCTCAGCATAAGAGCAACCTTGAATAGTGGCTTTCCTTCATCACCCTGTTTGAAAGAAAATTCCATCTCAGAGTCTGTTTTTCATCCTTCAAAGAACTTATCTCAGTTTATAATGATTTTATTTGTTTCTCCACTATACCTTTGCCACTGCACTCTGAGTTCCATGAAGGCAAAAAGCATGTATATTTCCCTTGCTATTGTATCTCCAGCACTGAGCACAGGACCTGGCTGGCATATAATGAGAGTTCCAAAAATGTAGTTTGAAAAATTAATGAACAGAAGCTGCTAAATAAATGGAAGTTGCTAAATGTATTCAAATTATAGTTAATGTCTGAATGGATAGAGTTCTGAAAACTTGACATACCCAAGATTTTTAAGAATTGGCCAGGGTACAGAGTTTAAAGGAAAAAAATAAAATAAAATCTGTACCTACCTTTCAGCTACTCCTTTATGAAATAAGAGCAAAATCATCAAGGAACCACTTATTAGCATGGCACAAACTGAGTCAATTATTTCAAAATAATGTTTGATTATATGGAGGCATGTATTAAAAAGCCTTCCCATGAAAAAAAGGGTACCACTTTTCACTGTCAGCACAACAGAGCCCTGTTGCCAGATTCAGGGGTGGGGGAACAGAGGCAGGACATCGTCCAGGCCAGCATTGACATAATTGTCTCCAACAGACTGCTTTCTTATTAACCTCACAATGTACAGCAAATTAATGAATACCTGTGCAGTTTCCAATCTCCAAATGTCAAATAGTGATGCTAGGTCTGTCATTTGTGAATAAGGCCACCCCATGAATTCTTTTCTCTTTGGGTTGAAGCATTAACTTGCACATTCTATTTAAGTGAGTGCTGAATTAATAGGTGTTTCAGCACGCAATTTTGGTTCAATGAGTAAACACAGATTTTTAGCTGGTGCTGGATTTATAGAAAGAGTTACTGGGTTTATTACTGTGGAATGACATCTGCTGGGACAACCCGTCACCTTCAGATTGTTTTCAAGCAACCTACTCAAAACTAAGTGTTCACTCTATAGGCACTTGAACAATGATAATTATGTAGTCTATTTTCTAGTTTTCTTGCCAAATAGGTAGAAATAGTCACCTGATTGCTTATGGTGACTGGATACTTTGGGCTAAATGGTTGAACAATTCCAAGTCTTACAATATAAAAATGATTGTAGCTGCAGTAGTACTTCAGTGCCACCAGAGGGTAGAATATCAAAAATTGCATGAAGAAGAAATCGAATACAAGAAAGGGTTCTCCAGTTAGGATTCTAAGCCAAGATCTATAATAACAAACCTTGAACATTTCCCTTAAATGTCTATGCCTTGGATCCTTCATCTTTAAAACAAAAATTGTAAGAGCATCAGCCTCATAAAATGGTTTTATAGATGAAATGAGATGATATATATGATACCTGATTGCCTGCCACATTTGGGATGGTAAATGAATAAAAGTAGCAATTATTTCTGATCAGGTTAAGAATCTTTGTGAAAACAAAAATGTTCTGATGGCACCATCAATCTTGGATTGATATAAAACTATAAGGTAAAATAAACAGTATCTTTTCTGTATGTTTGAGATTATGGTTTCTTGTGTCCGTAAATGTTGTACATTCCATTCTTCTAAGGGTTGGATTGTATTCATCGCACCCATTAAATGTCTAATCAACCTGTTTCTATCTCTCAAGGGCTTAGAACTTGATGATGATAAGGTTGAACAGTGTATATTACTTTTATATTTGATTAGGTTCCTATGTTGGACTTTTAATCACTTATTCAGCTGTATTAAAGTAAAACATAAATAAATTTAAAAATTAGAATTCAATTCAGTTCTCCCACAATATATTTCCTCTATCCTTGCCTTAGTTTTATTTTACAAACCAAATGACTGAAGTTAATTTAAATCTATTCTTCTTCTCTAACCAGAAAGTCACTCATATAGATAGATTGCATAGCGATGAAAGAATACTAGACCAAGAGTGAAGAGATCTGGCTTTTAGCCCTGGTTCTATTAATTCACTGCATGAATTTGGACAAGTCACTCTGCCTCTTTGGATATCTCCTAAGATAATGACTTTAGATGAGAAGATCTCAAAGGTCCTTTCTAGGTGTCACATTCTATGATTTTCTATCAGAATCTTAATATCCTAGAGTTGAAAAGGACATGAAATGGCATCTTGTCAAATCTACCTACTGAATGAAATCTGTGCTTTCCTTTAAGCCATTTAATTTTTATTAAGATTACTTATAAAAATTTTAACAGGACAGAACAAAGACTGAAGTCAGTAAGCTATTAGTTGTCATGCATGCTGGTAGAAATCCATCACTTAAAATGAATAGTCTGATTGTATTTGAGGGTAGCTCTGAGAATAAAGAAAAAAGTATGTTTCTCATTGGTCCACCTCAAAACAGTGTGCCAAGGGGAATGACCAACTTCCTTTAAATACAAAATTTTGTAAAGTAAGTCAAGTCCCATATAACCCCTCTCAGACACTGTAATGAATACTGAAAAAAAATTTTAGTCTCTGAAATACTCAGAATTAGATATCCATTATATCCATTATAATGATACTATATGGAATATGGAAATGCTCTCTTGCCAGCCTTATCTGTTTCTAATGATAAATAGATTCTTATAGAACACTGTAATAAAAGTATTCACATGCAATATCATTTTATTTTCTATGAAACTATCTCTATATAATTTTGCTTCTTGGGATACTAATTCTTGATATTTTACAAAGCTATGACATCAGACTTTGATTCAAATAGCCAAGAAAGAAAAGAAGGAAGGAAGGGAGGGAGGGAGGAAGGGAGGAAGGAAAGAGAAAGTTAGAGTACTACTCACTGTCTATGTAGCCCTTAACAAAGAGTCATTGGAAAGAAAGAATGGATCATGGTACCTTGGCCATTTGAACATTAACTCCCATCTTTTTGAATTCTTTGTTCCATTATGTCTTGGATGTGAAAGTGTCATGGTTTATTATAGTAATTATGCACTTACTTTTGTTCCTTTCCCCAGATGCATTTACTCTGGCCTGTCTCTGAGGTTAGCTTTTTTTTTTTTTTTTTAAGTTTGCTTTTGGTGAAGTTGTTTTTCTGCCTTTGTGTGATCCAGAAATTGGAATTTGTTTGTTTTGAGTTCTCCAACTTATCCTATAGCTACCACTGTTGTGATACTATCATTAGATGGTACTACTTCATTTTTTATAATGTGCTGATTAGGATATTAATTACATTACTGACAACTAGCTTATCCAAATTGAGTTTAACTAGAAAAAATGAATGAATGCTTGTTTCTGTTGACATAATACATCCTGGAGACTATCACTCTAGATCTATTTCATTCATTCATCTATTTTATTAATATTTATTGAGTATTTA